AAAAAAAAACAGATATTATTTTGATCAAATTAGCCTGCAATAAGTCAAATATATATTTTGGTGTACTCTTCTACTGGCTGTTATCAGGTATATCTGAATGTGTACAACAGGGGTTTGAGCAAAGCTTTTACCACTGAATGATGCAAAAAGTGCAGCATCCTCAAAATCTGAGGAAACTGGAACATTCGAGGACAAAACAAGAAGAGCTGGGCCTTAAAAAACAAAAACTGATGGAGGGATGTCCCAAAAGTGGTCAAACTACTGCTTCTAATTAAGCAGCAGCCAGTTTTGGGGGTCTGGTGGAGGCAATTTGTGTCCAAACATGAGCCCAGACCCGGTTTAATCCTGTTTAACTTTACATTTTTGTCAGGATTGGTACTCGAGGCAGGACTCAGGCGCAGAGAGGTGGTACAAAAAAGGTTTTATTGAACCAAGAGCACACTCTCAGAGTGGAAACTAAGCACCAAAACAAGATTTACAAGACTAACAACAAAGTATTAGATCAAAATCGCTCGAAAGAGGAAGGACAAAAGGCTATGAAACAAACTAACAAAAGAATACTCACTGGAGTTAACAAAAATGACTAGAAAAATCTAAAGCAAAATCACTCTTACGAGGTCAAACAATGGGCAAGGCAATAGGTACAAGGAAGACAAGCAGACAGGGGATGAACCTTTCAAAATAAAACAGGAAATGACAAGACAACATGGAGACAGGACAAAAACACAAAAAATTCCCCCAGACGTGACAATTTTGCTGTTAAATGACAGTAACAAGGGCCTGACTGGTGGTTTTGTTCATGTAGACGGTCACCATTAGACCTTTTCCACTCGGTTAACCTGCATTTTTTACTTTTGGGGATCACCTCCAACCTTTCCCTGGTCTTATTCTGAAACAGTTTCTTAATCCCTCTGGCCTCCAGTTGGGATATTATTTGCATTTCTCCTTTGTTTACTGCCTGTAACCGGTTAAAAAATAGGCAGTTTTCAGCCTTCATAAAGACACACAATGCGGTTCTCAGCAGCCACGAGCGTAAACAGATCTCCCCCTCTCAAATAAAAGCAGCCCTTCCATTATTGATGCGATCTGATGGGTGTGCGCACGTCAGCAGGAGTTTCAACAGAAAAACATTTGATCATTTTATATTAGGACTGTTTTTAGTGAGGGGGGATGCTAACGGTATTAAGCTAGGGGTGTCACGGTGAATGGATTTGATTTTCTGTCAGAGAAAACCTGAAAGAAAGTGGAAAATAATGACATTTATCTGCTTTTATTTGAAAGGAATCGTTTTTAGCCGTGATTGTTTTCTCTTTTTGGAGCACGATTTGAAGGTTTTAAGTCTCACGCCATTTTGAAAAGGGTCAGACGACCTCATGACCGGTGATGTCACAGCTCTGACCAATCAGGAAAGAGACATAATTGGTCAATATGTCTCTGGGGTTCATTTATATGTGTCATATTTTCTGAGCTCAAACTTTTAAAGGATATTGATTTTATGATGGGTGGTTCTGGCCAATATTTAGGTTTAATTCGCTTTAATTCTTAAAAAAATGGAACATTTTGACTCATTTGATTGGTCAGAGCCTGTGACATCACCATTGGTGAAGCATTCAGCCCCTTGCTGATTGGCTGGGGGAAGTCATGTGACTTCACTCGGTTTCATTTGTAGTTTTCTTAAATTTCTTTTGAGTTTTTCCGTCAGAGTTTCTTCTATCGTCAGAAACGGAGACTTCATCCGACAAATTCACCATAAAAGAAGCTTAAAGAGTTCCTTAAAAGTCAAACATTTGTGCTTACATCTGGATTGGCTGGAAAATCCATATGAATTTGGATTATTTATTCCCGTTGAAACCAAAGAAAACCTGCTTTGACCAAAGCTTCTGTCTGAGTGCAGGTTTTTGGGTCCGACAAACAAGAAAAGACAAGATAAGACAAGATAAGATAAGATAAGATAAGATAAGACAAGATAAGATAAGATAAGATAAGATAAGATAAGATAACATAACATAAGATAGCATAAGATAAGATAACATAAGATAAGATAAGATAACATAAGATAAGATAACATAAAGTAAGATAAGATAACATAAGATAACATAAGATAAGATAACATAAGATAACATAAGATAACATAACATAAGATAGCATAAGATAAGATAAGATAAGATAAGATAAGATAAGATAAGATAAGATAAGATAAGATAAGATAACATAACATAACATAACATAAGATAACATGAGACAAGATAAGATAAGATAAGATAAGATAACATAAGATAACATCAGATAACATAAGATAACATAAGATAACATAAGATAAGATAACATAAGATAACATAAGACAAGATAAGAAAAGATAAGATAAGATAAGAAAAGATAAGAAAAGATAAGATAAGAAAAGATAAGATAAGAAAAGATAAGAAAAGATAAGATAAGAAAAGATAAGATAAGATAGGATAAGATAAGATAAGATAAGATAAGCTTTATTGATCTCCCATTGGAGAAATTCACTCAGGTCCAACATCTGGATGAAACCACTGTGTTTGCACATCAGCATTCGGGAAACAAACAAAATCCTCTGGAAGCTTTAGCTCCTGGCAAAAATACATTTTACATTATTAATATGATGTTTGCTCAGACTGGCAAATGGCTGCCAGATAAACAACTTTTAATTTTCTAATTTGAGCCACTCAGATAGATAGCTGTGGTCCTGGTAGCCTGGAGCCAGCTGAGAGCTGCTTTTTCTTCTTTTTAAGCACATTTTTAGTCATTTTTTTATGGTTTCGGGATGCTTCTGTGATGCTAGGAACCCCTTTTTAGCCCCTTATTTCAATTTTTACCTCTGAGAGCTGCTTTTTCTTCTTTTAAAGGACATTTTGAGTCTTTTTTTATGGTTTCGAGATGCTTCTGTGATGCTAGGAACCCCTTTTTAGCCCCTTTTTTGCATCTGTTTAAGGTTTTTTTCAATTTCTTTATGATTTGATATCTTCTTGTTGTCATTTAATTGGGGAAAACAGTAATTCCTTTGGGTGTGTTTAATGACAGACCAAATCCACATCATCTTTATCTTTAATATGGAGCAGTTTGAGCCTTAGAAAGCAGAATAATTATCCCAATATGTCACCACAAAAAAAAAAAGACTATTGATGAACCACAACCAGCAGAAAGTGTCAGAACCAGAGAGAGGAAATCTCCCTTTTACGCCCGTTAGCTGCATTTGAAAACCAAACTTCAGGCCTTTTAACGGAGTCGGCGGAGCTTTCAGGCATAAACAGGAAATTAGAAAGTCCAAACACGGAGGAGCGGCTTTAAAAAGGGATAAAAATGCTCCCAGTTAGTGATTCGAGTGTTAATCAGAAGGCTGAGCCGTTCACAGACACAACCGGGATGCATTTCCAACAAAGAATGGAAACTACTCAGTTCATCCAGGGGCAGTTCTTTGGTTTTTAAGGTCTCCAGCA